ATGTGTATGAGCATGTGGGTGTGAATGTGTGAGTGTAGGGTGTGTATGTGTGTGTGGTGTGTGAATGTGTATGTGTGGGTGTGAGTGTGAGTGAGCATGTGTGAATGTGTGTGAGCATGTGGGTGTGAATGTGTGAGTGTAGGGTGGGTATGTGTGTGTGGTGTGTGAATGTGTATGTATGGGTGTGGGTGTGGGTGTGAGTGAGCATGTGTGAGTTGACTGCTGCCTGCCCACTCCGTTGCACAGGGTCTTGATCTAGACTATTTAACCTCCATGAGAAGCCTGTGGGGTGCAGACATCTATGTCCCATTTCTCAGGTGGCTCCACCCAGGCAGAGGTGAAGCTGTTTGCCCACGGGCACAGGGTGAGGCTGTGTATGCGGCAGCCTTACAGCCTCGGGGAAAGCAGGAGGGGCACAGAGTGAACAAGAGTGATTAAGGGGTCTCAGTAGATGGAGAAATGACAGAGAAATGGTTTATCCTTGTGGCCAGCCTTAGTCTCCTTGCCCAGTTTGGCACTTTTTCTTTCACGTTTCATGTGCTATTTTGATCCCTGGGATGCTAGCTTTCAAATGAACTCACCAACACACCCCTAACCCCTCACGGGAGCCAGGCCTTGGGCTGGCCCGAGGACGAAGATAAAACACTGACACCATCTTTAAGAAACTGGCAGGCTGGGGCAGGCATCAAAGTTGGGGGGTTGAACCCCCGGGGGGACAGGGCACCGGTCTTTTTGAAACGTTGAGGTATGACTTACACGCAGGGAAATGCAGACACGTTAAGGATGCATTGACGGACCTTTACATCAGCGAGGCCCCACGTCACCACCACTCAGATGGAGACTCAGAACGTCCCATCACCCGGAGCCCCTCTGGCTCCTCCAGTCGCTGTCCCTCCCAAGGACAGCCCCTGCCCTGTCACCAAGGATTTGCCTGTTTTTGAACAGCTTGTTTTTGAGCGCTTGTTTTTCTAAAGCATTTAAAAATCTCATAGTCTTGCATTCAGAAAACAAATCTGGACCCTGGTCAAACACAGTGCCATGGTTAACAGATGGGCACAGTGGGGACCCCAGTGGGGGCCGGCCAAGCCTTGGGGAGGCTCAAGGATACATGAGCTGCCTGGTGGTCAGCCAGGTGCCTGGGACAGCCCTGCTGCTCTTATCTTCGGGGGTGAGGCCATGCGATGTTTTCTGGCTCCTTGTTAGAGCTCAGTGCACCCCAACACTCTCTGAGGGCCCTGCTGTCTTCCCAGCAACCCCCAGACCCCTACCTGCCCACCCCAGTGCCCACCCACACCCACAGCTGCACCTCTTCCTGGGTGGCGGCCCTTGAACAAGATGCGTAATATCTCTGTGCTTTCATTACTCTATTAAATGGGATAATCACAGTGTCTCCCTGACAGGTTTGTTAAGAGGATGGAGTGAACTGATATCACATATCTTATTGTTTGTTCAGAGTTTATGAAACTGTTGGTACACAGTAAGTGCTTATGTAAAAATAAAGCAAACTGGATCCACATTTAACTGGTGGGGGTCTGCTAGAAGGCACGGGGGCTTGATCGTTGGGCATTAGAATCTTGAGGAGGGACAGAGACTTTTTGGATGATTGTGTAAAGTGGGCGGGCCTCCAGGTCCCCATGTAGTGGGGTTCCTGTCCTTCTCCTTTGCAGAATGAAGAACACGGAGGAGGTGCCCGATGAATGCCGAGGGCCTGGCGGACAGCAAGAGGGCCACTTGGCTCCTGGCAACTCTCGTTTGCCTGCCAACCTGCAGCCTGGAGATCTGAGCCGTGGAGAAGCCAGGCCCAAGTGCTGCATGAGATACATTCCCCGCGTCTCCTTGTCTGGACACACAGCCCTTCACCCCCCACCTTCCCAGGACACGGGAGGCGTTCCCCGGATTCAGGCCTGAATACCTCATCCCCACAGCAGCTCACACAGATTTCACAGAGCTGAGGCCTCCTTCACGGCCAAGGCCCTGGCCTGGGAGGCAGGTGACCTCGGCCCCGCAGGAGGCTCTTTGCCTCAGGAGCCCGCTCAACCTGGACCAGGCCAAGGGCTCAGGATGCTCCCGGGAGCTCTTATGGATCCATCTGAGTGCAAGTCCCAGCTCAATTAAAGATTCCTTGTAGGGGATTCAGGACGTGGTCAGGTCACGTGCACATCCTGAGTCTCAACTCCCCTTCTCTGCGAAATGGGCATGAGCACTGCCGACAGTGATGAGGAGTAAAGGAGGCAGCGGGGAAGAGCCAGACTCCTCGGGCTCAGACCCTGGCTCTGCTATGGGACACTGGGGAAATGGCTTGACTTCTCTGTGCCTCGGTTTACTCATCTGTAAAATACAGCTAACAAGAGTTCCTCCCTCACCTGGTGGTTGTGGGGATTAAATGAGTTAATAACTGTAAAGCACTTGGCATATTACTTATCATACTATATAGTCTGTAATAATACTACATGATGTATTGGTATTAGCTCAGAGGTTAGACGTTGGGCACCAAAGTCAGAAGGCTGGAGTTTGAGTCCCAGCAACATCACTCATCAGCTGTGGGACCCTGTTTAAGTTCCATGGCCTCTCAGTGTCTATTCATAAAATGAGATCAAGAATATTACCTACTTCGAGTTATGAGGGTCAGAAGAGCAAATCAATGAAAGGTGCCAACTCTCAGGAAGCATTAAATATCATGCAATTGCCATTCAGACTATTACGATACTAAAGGAAGCGAACATTTATGGAGTACCTACTGCAGTGGTCGGCAAACTCATTAGTCCACAGAGTCAAGTAACAACAGTACAATGATTGAAATTTCTTTTGAGAGCCACATTTTTTAAACTTAAACTTCTTCTAACGCCACTTCTTCAAAATAGACTCGCCCAGGCCGTGGTATTTTGTGGTAGCCCACGCTCCAGGGGCCAAAGAGCCTCATGTGGCTCGCGAGCCGCAGTTTGTCGACCAGGGACCTACTGTATATGGGCAGTTGACGTGAATCGTCAAGGATATCCTCGAACAAGCGTTCGGTTGCTGCGTTCGGCAGAGGAGGGAGCGAGGTTCTGCTTGTCCAGGATCCCATGGCTGCGAGGGGTAGCCGGACCCCAGGGTGCAGTTTTGGTGGGAGAAAAGGCCCAATGCTTCCTGCAGGACTGCATGTCCCACCCAAAGGGCTTGGCGCCCCGGGATCCCCTTCCGTCCCCAGAGTACCCCTGGCTGGGGCATTATTGTCCCCACTGTGCTGAGGGCTGACCTGGGTCTTAGAGGGGTGAGTGGCTTGAATTCCTGCAGCTACGAAGTGGCAGAGCCGGATTCAAACTCAGTAGTCTTATCAGAGTTCTGCTTATGCCCATGACAACCTTATCCCAATTCCCTCTGAGCCACCGACACAGTCTCTGCGTCTCTTCAAAACCCCAGAGAGAGGACCAAAGCCAGGATCACTGTCAAGCCCCAGGCCCACATGCAATCCCCTCACGGCTTCCGGGGGGGGGGCGGGGGGGGGCAGGGGCACACACTCAGAGACACAAAGACACTCAACAGCCAGAGGGGTCGTTGTTACCCAGAAATCTTTATTACAAAAATATTTTGCAAGCCAAAAAGTTTAAGTTGCAACTATATACAAAATGGGGCCTGTTTCCTTCCCAAACAGTCTTAAAATAAACTCTCCAAACCACGCTCCTTCCGCACGGCTGTCTGTCTCGACCTCTTCCTTTTCCTGGGGTTCGATACACAAGGTGGGAGAACCGCCAGGCTGCCAGCCTGCACCTAACGCGACACGGCTCCCTCGGCCTCCTTCCCTCACTCCCCTTCCGAAAATCCGAGATTAAATTAAATTAAAATGGCACCAAGAAAACATTCCCTCGCGATGCCGGGTGAGTGAGTGTCCGTGTGCCTGCGTCTTCTCTGGGCAGAAGACAGGGGGACGGCGGTGCCCGAGCCGGCCTTTGGGGATCTGGAAACAGTCCGAGGCAGGCGGCTGGGACACTGCGCTCCCAGATGCCACAGAGAAGCTCGGGCTCATGGGCCAAAGCTGCCCACACGGCCTGTTGGCTCAGCGCATTCCTGGATGCCGTCATGTCAAACACCAACTCGCAGTCCCCCCCAGACGGCCGGGCCTGGGCGGAGCTCCCGGAGTCCCGGCTGCGGGCCACGCGGAGGGCAGCCTGGGTCCGCTTCTCTCTTGCTCTGCTGGCCTGAGCAGCAACCCCTTGGGCCCCGGCGGGGGCGGAGGGGGGAGCAGCGAGGATTAGTGTCTCAGTTCTAAGCTGATCAGTTACACGTGGAGACCGAACACGCAACGTGCACCCTTTGCTTGCCCTGGGCCCAGCCAGGCTCCCTCGCTGAATTGGAAGGGGGTGGGGAGTGGGGGGTGGGGTCAGAGGACAGTGGGTCACAGCTTCTGCCCACCCTCCCGAGACAAAGGGACAGCAAGGTGGGTCAGTCCTCGTCTTACGGCTGCCCAGGTTGATTCCAGTTTGATCCCAGGAGGGTTTGAGAGCAGCAATGGGAGATCTCCCTTGCAGAAATCAGCTCAGAGAGCTGGCATGGGGGAAGGTCGCTAAGGGGGAAGGGTTGTTGGGGGGAAAGCCAGGCACAGCTTCCTACCCTGCATGGCCCTAAAGTGCTTATGAGGAATGGCGGGGAGGGAAGGCATCTTCCTCTCCCCCGTCCAGGTGAGCAGACTGAGGCATGAGGTGCGGACATGACCGCAGGGCGGGGGGCGCAGCCTGCAGAAGCACTGGCTGGTTCCGACTTACCGCGCGAGCCCAGGGCAGGAAGGCAGTAGGACCAGCCACGTGGCTCGGCTGAGGACGTGGCCAGTTTAGTCCCGGAGAGAAGGAAGGCTGAGCATCTCCACGGAGCAGCCAGAACGGAGGAACCTTCTTCCCCATCCTCGGGCTCCGGGACGGGGAGGAGCTCATGTTCCGCTGCAGGAGACTCCCTCCGGGGACCGACGGCTACACCTTGGCCAGCACAAGACCCAACCAGGTACTTCAACACATGACAGAGAGCCAAGGTAAGGCTGCCGTTGTTTCAAGAAAAAGAACAAAACAACAAAACAAAACACCACAGATCAAATTTTCTTACACCTCAGTTTCAAGATTGCACGTTTCACATTTATCAATAATTTACAGGCGTCCACAGCGAGCGGTTGCTGAGTTAGTGCGAGCTGGAGGAAGCAAGCTCGGGTCTAGAAGGCGAGGCGGGTCCAGGTGGAGTGTGGTGGTCAGGATGCTGGTCCTCACGGCGACTCGGAGGGCGGGAAGAGGAGGGTTTTGTTACTCAGTCCTGGTGGTGGTGGTGGTGGTGGTGGAGGGTTTCCGGGCGGGTCCCCTGCTCCCCGGGGCTGGTGGCGTGTCAGTCCAGGGATGCGGGAGGGCAGGACCGTTGGCAGCAACCTCATGGAGTCTCGGGACGTGGTCCCGACGTTTGTTTTCTAAATTCCCCGTGGATGGGGCATTCGAATCGAGACAGAACTTTTCCCAGAGCCCCAGCTGCATGGTGGTGGCGGTGGTGAGAGGAGCAGGTGGGGTTTCTCTCCCTCGTCACCTTGGAAGATCAGGCTGCGGAGCATCTAGGAAGCTGTCAAGAGTCGCCAAGACCATGGCCAAGAAGACCCTTGGATGATGGAGAGAGGCATGAGAATTCCTGGACCCCTGGCAAGCTCCGGCCAGTTCCCACGTGGGCTCCCCGGCTGGTGTGGCAGCGTCGGCCTCCGTGTGTGGCAATGTGGGGTGGCGGGGGCTGTGGCCACCCTGGGAATGCTAGAGAGCCAAGCGGGTTGGGGAGACAAGATCCAGCCTCATCCTTGGGTCCCAAGACCTGCACCACCCAGGCCCTCCAGGACCCGGGGCGGCTGCCCCCCGTGGGACAGGAAGGCTCGTGGGCACTGATCCAGAGACGCCCGAGGCCCCGTTCACTTCCTCGGGACCTGGACGCTGGCGTACTCCGAGTGAGACGGCTCGGGCTTGGGGGCCGGCGGCTTGGGGGCCCGGTTGAGGTGGACCATGTCCAGGTCGGCGTAGGTGAGGTTGTCCTCAGGCGCGGCCGGCCGGACCGCCTGGATGCTGGCGTACTCCGTGTGGTTGTTGGACTCGGCCGCCCGGGGGGCCGACTTCTTCCGCTTGGGCAGGTTCAGGTCTGCGTACGTGATGTCATTGTTGTCCTGGGTCTGAAGGGGACGGAGAGAAGGTCACTCGGAGCCCCTCGCCTCCCGCCACGCAGCAGCACCCACAGGTCTGGATGCTTCTGTTTCCTCCACTGACTCAGCCGTAGCTCACGCCCAGCTCCTCTCGGGCCAAGGTTACCTGCCTGCAGCCTGACCCTTCCAGTCCACCTCCCTCCTCACACGGCCTGGGGACTTTCTACATGCCGCTGTGGTCGCCTCCCAGGCTGACTCAGTGTTTCCTCCTCCCACAGTTCTGCCCTGCCTTGTCCTGCTCCTCCCTCTGCCTGGAGTCCTCCCCCTCCTTCTCCTGGGGATGACTCCAACCCACCCTGCCCTGTGCATTGAAAAACAAGCGCTGTTTCATCCTGAGACCTGCCCACTCGCTGGGTCCAGGGCTCCTTCTCTGTGCTTCCTCAGCCCGTGTTTCTCCTGACAGCACCCACCACCCAGGACTGTGTCTGTCCAGGGGTGTGAGAGCATGAGGATCCCCCAGGTCTGAGCCATGCATCCATGTACTCTTTTAGTCAACAAATATCCCCTAGGCATTTGTTCGGATGCAGAGATCAAGGCTGACAAAGAGGAGGCCTGATCGCTGTTGAATGAACGAACGAGTGAATGGCAACAATTTCAGCCTCACTCAGGGTGCCAGAAGCCTGGAGTTCAAATCCTGCTTCTGCTCTTTCTACAATAGCTGAGAGGCTTTGGGCAATTCACGTCACCCTCCCGGGCCTCGGTTTCCCCATCTGTAAAGCAGGAGTAATAAACATATCTATCACCAGGATCGCTGGGAGAACCGGGCAAGATCAACCAGGGGAAGCTCTTAGCGTGGAGCCTGGCACGCACTGAACAAGCACTTTGTGTTCAATAATGGCTACCATGACCAGCCACCCAGCAAACCTGAGCATCTGTCTCCCATGTGCTAATCTTATCACCGCAACCGTGCCTTAAAATGACCCGTCAGGGACGGTGAGCTTGGCTTCCTCTGGGCCTGGCACCCAGGCTGCTGAGGCGGAGAGGAGCTGCTGGCAAGGGTCACTCTGGTGGGTGCATGATAACCACTACGGACCTCCACTCCCAACGGCTACCAGCACCACGCCATCACCGGGGCCACCTCAGGTAGGCAGGCCCTATCACAGCCCGGCTTGGTCGGATGCTGTACCTAGTTTACAGGTGAGCAAACTGAGACCTGGGGAGGTTACATAATTCGGTCAAAGCCACACAGCTGGAGAAGAGCCAGTCTGTTGGGTTCTAACGCTGTGGTCTCACCACACACAGCTCCTCTGTCCCGACCGGCACGTTCACCCTTCTCTCTAGGAAACCCAACCCTCGCGAGGGCTGGCACCAGGAATCCCAGACGCCAGCCTGCGAACGCCACCAGACCTGGGCTGTGAGTGTCCTCCCTGCTCACTGCCCAGGGTCAGGCACATAGTAGGTGCACAGCAAGTCTTTGCTGACTGAATTCTGCTCAGGTTTTCCTTGGTCAGTTCTTTTTACCATCATTCTTTTTTTGGAAGAAGTTGAGAGGTAAAATGATTGGGCATTGTCATGTGTTTCTAAGTATCACCTGAGCCCGTGCCCAGGGCACTGGGGGGCCGCACTGGGCCGGGGAGCAGGGCACAACATGTTGGCCTGCAAACATCATCATGTCTGTTAGCAGCCCCGGTTCCCTCCAACAGATTACATCGACGAGGATGACAGCAGCCAGGGAAATGTCAGGGACAGCTGGCGCGCGCGCGATCCAGGTCCAGGGCAGGGCCTGTCTTGTTACAAGACACAGGGGAGCCCTTTGCCTCCACGGGCTGACAGCGTCAGCGGGGAAGAAGCGAGGCTGGGCTTCTCGGGAACGGGCCAACTGCACGCTGCCCACGAAACCTCCTCCGCCATGATGAGGGGACGCTGCCAGCTGGAGGCATTCATGGCACAGGGTCTCTCCATCAGAGAGACAGGTTCTGGCAGCGCCGTGCTGCTGCTCCTCGGTGTGAGAGGCAGCAGGAAGAGCCAGGAGGGAACCAGGCAGGGCGCTCCCGCTGGCCGGGCGGGGCTGGCCTGGGCAGAGGCCTGACTCCACTGACATAGAGCACACTGTGAAGGGTGCCCCCTGGAGGTGTGCAGTGGGGGCGCTGAGTCAAGGAGGTAGAGATAGCCTGGCTGGAGTGGAGGGCGAGACTGTGCAGAGAACCAGGGAGGAGGGAGGAAGGTAAAGACTCTCCTCACCCTCCCCCCCACCCTGGGAAAGGAGTCTTAATTTAGAACCGAATCTGCCGCTCCAGCTGGTGCAAGAAAATCACACCATCGCGTTTCCCGGGAAGGGCACCTCACCAAGGACTGTACCTGGGTTACTTCTCTGGCGTTCTTCTCGGGCTCGTGCAGCCTAAAAAGGAAAGAGGCACACAGATAAAAATATCCTCCCTATCTCAAGCGCTCACATAAATTGATAAGAATAACACCGAGGTTCACTTCCTATGGGGTGGAGGACGTGGATGGTTCACAACAGAAATACAGCTGCTTATCAAGTTTGGGCAGATGGTCCGTCTCACAGAAAAAAGGAATTTGAAGCAATGTATAAAGCTACTCTACCCGTAAGAATCTTTGAAAATGATAACACTTGGTGCTGGGGAAGATATGGTGAAACTGGCATCTATATATATATATAAAAGCCCCGTGACTGGAATGGAGGAACGACCAGAATGACTGGTGGCTATGACGTGCACTGCGGCAGCCAACCAGCCTGATCCAGGCCCCCATCGGCCCTCAACACCCCAATCGAGGGTGGGGCTGACCAGCCAACTGCCCATGGCCCCTGTCCCCCGCTGGCCCAGCCCACTGGGCCCCCATTGGGGCGGGCTGGCTAGACCCCACCAGTGCATGAATTTGTGCACCGGGCTTCTAGTTTTCATATATTATTGGTGGGAGGGGCAAGTTGAGGCAACCCTTTTGGGAAGCAGCTTAGTTAGCCAAACCAAGAGCTTGGAAGGTGTCATCACCTTTGGATTCATAATTGCATGGGGGGTGGGGTGGGGATTCAAAATATCCCCAAAACTGTCTGCATAGAGGCAGGGTGCAGGGCAGGGCGGGGGAGGGAGTCACATCTAACAGCTCTGCCAGTGGGGACTGCCTCAGGAAATTAGGATAGACTCGCTGATAAAGATTTAAAAGGTTTATGAAGAAGTTTCTTTCTTTAAATTATGAATGATTACATTAAAAGATAAGTGCAAAAACAAAATTCTCAGTGGAATGATCCAAATTATGAAAAATGTGTGGATAACACTGGAAGGAAACAGTAAAATGCTAGCAGCAGTGGTCTTCGGGTGGTATTTTTTTTTTCTTTCTAGTTTCCCATAGTCTCCCGCTGTCCCACATCATACACATCTGGGTTTTGTCATTGGGAAAGAAGAGGGCCCAGGCTGGTGTCCCCAGTGGTCAGAGCGCCCGCAGGCTGGATTCTGGTCAAGGGCTCGCACCTTGGCTGCAGGTTCCCACCAGAGCTGGGGCACGTGTGGGGGTGGGGGGTGGGAGGAGGCTGGGGGTGGGACGGGGGCACGTGGGAGGCCTCAACCAATTAATGTGGGTCTCTCGCATCCATGTTTCTTTCTCCCTTTCCTCTTCTACCCTCCCCCTCCCTTCCACTCTCTAAAATCAATGGAAAAAATATCCTCCAGTGAGGATTCAAAAAAAAAAGACGAGGGAAGGATCAAGTGTCCTGGTTAATCAAAGAAGCCATTCATGCGCTTGATTCTGTAATTGGAGGCCATGGCCTGGCTCACTGCAGGGTCACGGTCAAGGTGGTGAGCAAGTCAGAGCCACTGGTTCCGCAGGAGCGGCATACATTCTCAGGCCACACGCTGGGGATGTGAGCCTGGATAATGTCAGAAGCGGGCAATGGGGCTTGGCTGCGAGGTTAGCCATGGATTTAGTATGAGTGCTTGGCTCAGAAAGCATCCTGGGCATGATGGGCCTCACCTGCCCACAGAAACGACCCTCCAGGAGCAGGGACTGTGTCTTGTAGGGAAGGTCATGCAGCTCTTTCCACATCCCCCCTGCTTCCAACCCTCTGGGGCTCCCAATGTCTCTGGTCCAAGTCCAACTCATCACCCTGCTCATAAGCCACATGTGGTCTGGCCCCTACTGACCCCTCACCCCAGGACTCATTCATTCCCCTGTCCTCACTTCCCCACTACCCACCCTCCAAATATTTCGAGAGGGCTACTTAATAAGACATACTCTAGGGGTCAACAGCAACATCCCTGAATGACCTTCTTAGCCACCTTTTTTTGGTTAACTCGTGTATCATTAAGACTCCACTGCGGAGTCAAGTCCTCAGGCTGGCTGGGTTGAGCCTGATGACAATTTCAAACCTCCTTATGTAGGTTCCTGTGTGGTGTATGTGTCTATCTGCCTGCCTGCCGTGCTTCCTTCCCGGATGGATGCTCAAAAAGTGCTCCAAAGTGACTGGGAATGAATGCCAGTCAGACTGCCCCAGGGCCTTTGCACAGTCTTCCCTGCCTCTTCACCTAGTTCACTCCTTCTCTTCCCTCGATCGCTGCTTGAAATAGTCCTTTCTCTGGGAGACTTCCACTGAGTCCCCCGACTCCTCTCGGAACACGGGGCTCCTTTCTTCCGGGGCAGCACTTCAGACTGGAGGACGTTTTCCTTGGTGTGTATGAGTGTCTGCCTCTCCTCCGGCCTCTCCTGCCTCCGTGAGCCGTGCTGCTCTCCCTCACCCCCGTGCTCGGGCTAAAGAGGTGGGAGGCCCTCCGAGCCTGCTCTCTCCTTCTTACAACCCACGTCTACGCCATATAAGGCTTGTTCACTCAGCCCCCACAATACATATCAGGCCCACGTGCTCCATCACCTCGGCCCCCAGCTCCCCAGATTCCCGAGGTGCCTCGTCCCTGTGTTCCTGCTTCCATTCCCAACTCTGCATAACAGTTGGTGCTGGGGGAGATATGGTGAAACTGGCATCTATATGTATATAAAAGCCCAGCGATCATCCACATGTAAAAATGCATGGAGGATGTTTTGTCATGTTTCTGCTCAAAACCCTCAACCCTGCGGTGAGTATCCTCTCTGGCGAGGCCCGCCTGGCCTGCCCCCCACCGCCCATCTCTCTCCCCTGGCTCCCTCCACTCCAGCTGCCCTGGCCCGCTCCATAGTCATGAACGCCTCCAACTGCTCCCGCCTTGGGCTCTGGGCACTGGCTGTTCCTTCTGCCAGGCCCACTATTGTCCCAGATAACCCCATGGCTGGTGACTTCCCATCCTCCAGCTGTCCTCTAGATGTCACCTCCTCAGAGAAGCCTTCCCTGATCACCCACCACACCCACCCCCTGCTCTGCTCTGCTCTGAGCCCAGCTTTATTTTATTTAATCAGCACCTGCATCACGCTGTGTAGTAACGTCCCGGCTTATTTGATCACCTGCCTCCCAATGCACAGTGGTCTCCAGGCAAGCAGGGATTAGGCCCATCTGATTCTCCACTGGAGCCCTGGCTCCCAGTAATGGGCTGGTGAGTCATTAGCGTGCAGTAAATGTTTGAGGGATGAATGAATGAATGAATCCATCCATCCATCCATCAACATCTGTTCCACTGGATCAAAAGTGCCATGAAACTGGGCCTTCGTGTCATGTTTGCTCCCCTTTGCAGTCTCCCAGCTTAAGGCCTGGCACTGAGCTGGGCTCGGTAAGAGGAATAAATGAAAGAATCAGGGAAGCCCTGTGTATTCCAAGAATAAACGCGGTGAATGTCTGACAAGTGAACAAATGGCCAACTGCACGAACCCCGGTGCCCAATTAAGGGAGCAGCCACATTGTGCCGTCAGATCTGGGGAAGATTACAGACAGCGCTCTGCCTGTGCGGTTCCTAACCCCGGAAGGTGGGCATCGCCAGTCCCTCCACCGGCGGCTCTGCAGCCCGAGGGGCGCTTTGAGCTCAAAATGGCGGCATCCCCCGTGGCACCTCCCTGTGGCGCACAGTGCTACCCACGCCACCGAGCTCTGGAAAGCCTCTGATGCCAGCCAGCCCAGCGGAAGCGGCCGCTACACGGGAAACCACCATTACGGCTCGCTAGCGATTGCTTTGGTTTAGAGGGATGAAAGGGAGCAAGCGATGTCCCGGCTCCCTGGGCAGGCTTCTGATGGAAAAATAAAAAACAGGCAGGAACGGCTGGCTTCTCTGGGGAAGGAGAATCCGGCAGCCAGAGCAATGGCGCAGACAAAGAGCATCAGCTCCAGCGTGGGGACGGGGGAGGGCGTCCAGGAGCCGGCCCTCCCGAGCTGTGGGACCTTGGGAAGGTCACCCGACCTCTCTGAGCCTCAGCTCCCTCACCCACACACGGGGACAATAACAGCCTTCTGAACGGGGGTTCCCAGGGTCTGGCTCGGGAGCCGCAGCAAGAGCACCACCTGAGAACTTGTCAGAAACACGTGTTCTGCAGTAGACGCTCTGGGGGTGGGGCCGGGAGTGTGTGTGTGAGCTAACAAGCCCTCCGGAGGACCCGCTGCACACCGGAGCCTGAGAACCACGGCTCAATTACAAGGGATAACAGTAAATCACAGGGCTTTTTGCGATCATTAAAATCACCTTTGGGCTAAGACCGGCAAAGGCATAGATCGGTTCCTGGGTCCTAGGGAGGGCTCAAAATACATTAGCTGCTGATGCTGTTGTCATTATTATTATTATTATTGGCATTGCCTTTTTCTCCCAGAACTTACTGTCTAATTGGGGAGTCAAGACAAATAAAAAATAATGACAACAATGAAAACAAAAACAACAAAAAAGAGAGATACGGTCATATTTTGGGTCGTGAGGCCACGGAGGGGAGAGTTTTAGGGATTCAGAAGAGATGGAGACTGCTGCAGTGGGTGAGGGTGGCATTCATTCATTCATTCATTCACTCGTTCATCTGACAAACCTTTGCTGGGCACCTATTCCATTCTGGGCCCGGTGCATGGCCGGCACTGAACATGAGGGAAGTGAGCCTGCCGCCCTCGGGAGGGATGGGTTACAATTTGGGGCCATGTGCAGGGATGGCTTGAGCTCATCAGGATGACAACGCAGGGGCACTAGGAGAGTTCCCAGGAGGGGCTCCCGGTCCTGGAGGAGACCATGCCCTCGCTGAGCCCAGAGGAAGAGCAGGCGGTAACCAGGTGGAAGGAGGGTGCCCACTCTAGCTTCCATGTCGCACAACTCTAAGGAGTGCCATTCACAGAGCCCCCTCTGATGCCCCTGGGATTGTGGAGACCCTGGGTGGTGAGTGAGCAGGGATGGGGAGCACAACCTGGAGAGAGGGAGGCCTGAGGGAGGAGAGAAGGCTGAGCCACAGAATGAAACACTGGGGCGTGGCCAGAGGTGAAACTGTCCATGTCAGCACAGGCCAGACCATGAGGGATTTGAAGGCCTCAGTTAGGCACTTGGACTATCTTGATGATCACGAGAGCCACTACAGGTTTTTAGGAAAAGGACGAAAGCTGAGTCTTGGCCTTGCAAAAGAGTATACTTGGTGCGCGCGCACGTGCGTGCAAGCGTGTGTGTGTGTGTGTGTGTGTGTGTGTGTGCTCCTTTTTAAACAAGTCAGATCATCTCCCTCCTATGGCTCCTCATTCCACCGGCAGTAAAACCCCAGGTCCTAGCGGCCACAGCCCTAGACCACTGGCCTCCCCTTCAGACCCTCAGGTCCTGCTCTTTAATTCTGAAATCCACACAGCTCTACAAAAGCAAAATACTTGCAAAATCCATTTGGTGGCAAAACCTGACCTAAACGTGAAGCTATTCATAGTTTTTATTTGTTGCTCTTAGTGCAGATGTTCATATATTTCTAAGCCGGAACATTCACATAGTAGATTGTGGCGTGCTGCTTCTATTCTGCTGGGGCGAACGTGGGGGGCCTCCCTAGAGCTGGAAAGCCTGGATGAGTAGCACATGTGGCTGCATGGGCCTCGGCTAAGAGCCTGTGGGCCGGCACCTCCCTGAGCTCATCTCCCGCCTTCCCCTCCTTCCTCTGCCCCAGCGCACAGGCCTGCTCTGGGCCGCCCGTCACCTCCCACCTCGGGCCTTGGCCACACCGGCTGTCTCCCCTGCACACCCATCTGCAACCTCTGCTTCACAACTCCCCAGCTCAGAACCTGCTCACATCTTCCGAGGAGGCCCCTCCTCCTGCCTAAGATGGGCCTGCCATAAATCTCCTCTGCTCTGTCTGATTTGTCACATGGCATTACATATCATTTACCTCTATGCTTACTGCAGCTGCTCTCACTGGTGTGCAAACCACATTTGGGTCTGGATTGATTATTTTTTTGTTAATATTCACCCAAGGATGGGTGTGTGTGTGTGTGTGTACACACACACACACACACACACACACACATATATATACTTTTCCCCCTTTGATTTTTAGAGAGAGTGGAAGGGAGAGAAGGAGGGAGGGGATGAGGGAGGAAGAGGGAGAGGGAAAGAGAGAGGGAGAGGGAGATGGAAAGGGAGAGGGAGAGGGAGAGAGAGAGGGAGAGAGAGAGAGAAAGAAAGAGGCAGGCTCCGATGTGAGAGAGACACATTGATTGGTTGCCTCCCACACACAGGAATCGAACCTGCAACCCAGGTCCATGCCCTTGAATAGAAATTGAACCTGTGACCCTTCAGAGGTTAGAGCTTGGACTCTACCCACTGAACAACACTGGCCATGGCAAGTCTGGACCGACATCTGTTCACTGCTATATCTCCAGCATCCGAACCTGAGCCGGCACATAGTAAGGACTCAGTAAGAATCATTGAAAACATGAATCAACAAACTAAGACACCATTTGCGACACAATGCCATCACCTTAGCCTCCTACCAGGGCGCGGGCTTCAGGATGGGCAGATGCTTTCTGTCCTGCTCACCCCGTGTCCCCAGGGCCACCCGTGCAGAGCACTTAATAAATATTTAATGAGCAAAGGAAAGAGCAAAGCCCTGTGCTCCTGCCACCGTCCAAACAGGATTTCATCGGAGTCTGCTTGTCTGTGGAAGTCCCCGCCAGTCCCCCGGGATCGGTAATTAAGATGGGCCTGGCGTGAGGCACTTCCAGAGCAAGGACAGAAAGGCTGGCTGGCAGAGCTGGGGGTTCAGCGGGTGTGGACTCTGCTTTTCGGTTTGGGGCTGTCAAACAACAGAAGCCTCCCAGCCCAGGGATGTGCTTACCTTGTGGAAGAAGTGGAGCCCTTGGCTGCAAGAGAAAAGAAATAAAAGCCAGTTATTGAACCTAGAAACATATTTTGTTGTTTTTTGTTGTTGTTGTTTTTGGGGAAGGGGAGGGCAAACGTTTGCCTCCAGGGACCCTGGGAGAAACTGTTGAGATCATATCCTCCCAACCATAGGAAACCCCGCGCTCACCCCAGTGGGGTGGCCCAGTATCTTCCATTGGGGGAAACCAGGAACTGAGCCTTCCTGCTTTCTCACCTCTGGGAACTGCCAAAGGTCAGAACCCAAAGCAGCCTTCAGCCTAGAGGGGTCACCTGCCCTTAGCCCCTGGTCTGCACTTCGCCACACTCCTCACCCGAGACCCTGCATCAAGCCTGGGTCCCAGCCATGGCCGCTCCCTGCTGGAGAAGATCCTAGCAGGCCTGTGAGCCGGGGAGCAGGTGCGAATCCCTCTGCTGCCACCAGCTCGCTCGCTGTGTGGGTCTGGATGGGCCCTTTCTCCCTGAGCTTGGATTTCAGCTCTCTGACTCACAGGACTGGGCTGGGCGTTCACGTATTTCCATGTCACCTTTCCCCGAAAAAGGATCTTGGGAGGACAGAAAGAGCCCATCTGGCTCAGAGGTTTTTAAACCTGTGCTATGGGGCATCCCACCGAGAAGCCGCTGGAGTTCAGCCACCATTTGACTCGAATTTCACTGCAAAATTGTAATTAAAAAGCAACATGCACACGCAAATGTGCTCTGCCCCTCGTGTCGGCAGGCTGGAGGCTGCCACAATGCAGCCGCCCTCACTGCTGGGTTAATGCTCGGGGCCTGGGCAGGCAGTGGGTTTTAGGTGAGCGGGTAGCAGTGGGAAGGCTGCAGCTCAGCATCTGACATCTGAATGGAGGCTGATGGGGTGCAGAGCACTAGGACATGAGACGTCTCAGGGGAGTCCAATGACCGATCACCCCCATTTTACACCGAGGAGGTTGGGTGACACACGGATGAATGGTAACTGGTAGAATAGAAAGGAAGACACCTCACTGTATTGAGGTAGAAGATGGGTGGATCTTTCCAGGGACCAATGAGGAGGAAGGGGAATCTCATTAAAGCGAAAGTGATGTGCAGCGTGGTCCCTAGAGTCCTACGGCCAAGGCTTGAATCCTGGCCCCACCGCTTGCCAGTTGGGAGGCCCCGAGCAAGTCTTACAACTTACCCGTGCCTCAGTTTCCTCACCTGTAAAATGGGTTTAATACCACCACTGCAGAAGACTGTGGCAAGCACAGTCCCTGACACATGAGATGGGCTGTGCGAGTGCTACTTGTCACTGTCACTGGAGCGTATGTTTGAGAGCTGGGCTCTGCAATATGGACCCACCACCCAGGTCTGGGTGGCCCGCATACATGTCTACAGCTCTCCAAACCGCCGCTCCTCCTCCGGAGCACCCGGTCGCTGATGCCTAAGCCCCCGTAATGAGCTCGGGTGTGCCGGGAGTGACACGGTGCCCAGGGAGGAGGCTTAGAGTCTAGACCAGTGGTCAGCAAACTCATTAGTCCACAGAGCCAGATATCAACAGCACAACAATTGAAATTTCTTTGGAGAGCCACATTTTTTAAACTTAAACTTCTTCTAACGCCACTTCTTCAAAATAGACTCGCCCAGCCTGTGGTATGTTGTGGAAGAGCCACACTCCAGCGGCCAAAGAGCCGCATGTGGCTCGCGAGCCGCGGTTTGCCGACCACGGTCTAGGCGAAGGGCTGGGATGTCCCTAACAGCCACTGTGAGCTCTCCCTTCAATGGCCTGGCTTGTCCCTGCGATGGGCAGGGGGTCCTTCCTGTGAGGGCTTCCCAGGAACTCTAGGGAGACCCCTGGGCAGATCACTGGCAGAAGCTCCTCCAGATCCCAGAGACATGGGCCTGACTCTAGCCTCCTGGACCGGGAGCTTAAGGCTCGGGCAGTACTCATTGCTAAGTCTTCCAGCCAGCCCAGGAGGGAGGGGCAGCGGGGAGGCTGCAGAAGAGGCGTGTGACTGACACCTCCAGCTGAGCCCGCACGTGGCACGTGGCACGTGGCACGTGGTACGTGGTACATGGTACGTGGTAGTTTGCCACCAGTACTTTGCAGAGAACTTAGGATAGACTCTGACAAAAAAGAAAATATCACAGTTCTAATTTCATCTGTGGGGCGCGCATGTGTCAGGCTGACATATAAAATGCATTTCTATCACTTGTAGTCAAATAAGTTTCAGAAACACTGGCTTAAACTTGTCTCCTTCGAGAGCAGAAAAGAGAACTTGCATTTTTTGAGGCCTGAGAATGTGCCAGAGCTGTTATTTCACACGAGCCTCTTTGGTTGCATAACCATCCTTCAACATAGGCATTGCTACACCCATTTTGTAGGTGAGCAAACAGAGACTCGTGGAGGCCAAACTGATTGCTTGGAACCTATAACGGCCCTGGTTTGTCTTAACTCCAAAGGCAGAGGCCTTGCCATGACAGGAGCGACACAACCACACACACACACACACACACACACACACACACACACTACACAATGTCCCCTCCTGCCCCTGGGAAGGCGGTTTCCCAGGGAGGTGGCTCATGTTTAATGCTGATGACAGGAGGTAACATTTATTGAGCACTTGCTGTGTGCCAGGTACGCTCCCAACTTTTATATATATCACCCACTTCATCCTCCCAACGGCCTTGGAGGTGGGTGCTGCTGTGACCCCTATCCTCTTCCAGCCTCCTGCCTGGGGGATGGGCGTGTAACTGGACAGGTAAGAGGAAAGCAAATGTTGGCCGGGGGTTCCTGGCAATATTACTTGCTCTCTGAGACCCTCTCCCCACCCTGCAGCTTCGTTTCCCACCTCGCAGAGGTGCCCTGAGGAGGCATGGGCTGGAGCAGAGATGCCGTCTTGCAGCCACGAAGGGAAGGCCCCAGGAGGGATCCACCCAGGCCCACCCAGGCCCAATGGGGTGAGGGTGTCACCCCAGCTGGCACTGCTCCCCCTGGACTCCTATCTCATTCCAGGAAGGAACTGCCCCTAGGCGTCGCCCAATGCCCTCCTGCGGCCTCCCCCGCTGGAAAGGACAGCCCGGGGCAGACTCCCGGGGAAGCGGCAGGGAAGGCACCCACCTTTTTTCTGTCGGACTCGCAGGAGATAGAGGGCGGCCATCAGCAGGGCCACCAGCAGGGCACACACCACGCCCACCGCAATGAAGATCCCCTTCAAGTTCTTGCCCTCACCTGGAGACAAGGCAGAAGAGAGGCTTCAGGCGCGCCAGTGAGAACCAGAGAAGCGCCACTCACCGCCTCTCTGCACCCCTGCTCGGGCCCGTTCACGAGAGCATCGGGCTGGGTCTTCTCGGATGTTTCGAGCCTCCCGGGCACATTCATGGCTCCGCACACACGTCCCCACACGGATCAACCATGGGAACACACAAGCCATGCCAGGGTGCCGGGGGAGACTGCGTGGTGCCGCAGCCGTGGCGGAACCCGGGCTGCCGGGCAGGGGCAGACACCTCTCTCCCGAGGAGCACAGCCTGTTCTCTGCATCGGCCCGAACCAGTGGCCACGGAGGCCACGGGAGCTACACAGCCCCGTTCAACCTCCGAACCACAATGGGAACCACTGCAGGCGACGAGTGGGCTCTGCAGGCCTCTCAGTGGGCTCTGCCGGGACCCAGGCAGAGGGGCTCTGAACCCAGACACTGAACGAAACTAGGACCTGGCGGGCCCCGGGCACAGGGAGGGAACCTGCACTGGAGCACTGTGGGTAGTCGGGAACAGGGCTGAGCTGCAGAAACGTGGATTTAAATCCTTGCCCCCAATGTGTGATCTTGAGCCGGTCACCTAAACCTCCACATACCGGCTTCCTCTTGTGTTACTGAGGCCAAGAATAATCTCTACCATGTTGGATGGCCCTGAGGATTAATCAGCAACTAACCAACCAACCAACCAACCAACTCACTCTTTCCTCCCTTTTAAAGGGGTTTCCCTACTATATTGCTGGGCTGTGGGCTAGGCCCTGAAGCTGCAGTGCCCGGGATTCCTAGCAGCTGGGACTCTGAACCAGGGTCACAGCTCCTCTTCTTGGGCACTGCCTGGAGCAGTTGGAGGCCCAGAGAGAGAGGTACTGACTCATCCGAGATAACCCAGCAGGTCTGGGACAGGTGCTGCTCCGAGTGCAGGCCTCACCCTCTGCGAAGCAGGCATCGGTGACACCTAAGGGCATCCTGACAGGGCCCCGTCCTTCCCTGGAGCTCTCTGGCCCCTTGAAGGATGCACAAATGAAAGCAATGGCCTTTATTCTAACCCACTCAAAGGGTCTACTGTGTCCAGGGCACAGCTATGCTAACGAGGGAACAGTCCACGCTGGCACCGAAGCGCCAACTGGGTGCTGCTGTTTTGAAGGAGGGAGACGCACACCAATGCATTCGAGGAGTGCTGAGACCTTTGACTCTCCCAGGAGGCGGCAGCATTCCCAGCCTCTTCAGTGCGCACGCGCTCGGGCCCTGAGATGCCCTTTGGGAAATGGCCCCATAGAGAGAGCTGCACATGTAACACAGCATGCACAGGACATGGACTGCAGCAGCTGACACTGGACAGAAGCCACACCCCTCTGGAAGGCCCGCCCCGCCCCCTGCAATGGCAGCCAGAGGACCAGGCAGAGGTTAGACAGAGCCAGGAGGAGGCAGGGGCCCACATGGCTGTGAGAAGAAAGCAAGAGGCAGGCTCTGTGGTGGCCTCCCGCCCTCCCTCGCTCTTCCCTTTCTCAATGTACACTGATGTGAAAAGACCCATCAAGGCGGGTGCCAAACTCTTACCAGTGGTGACGGTGGAGTGTGGGGTGTGGGGAGGGGAGCTCACTTCAAATGGTCCCTTCCTACCTATAGACTTCTAGGTTATTCTGTAATAAGCATGCATTACTACTTGTAACAGTAAAAGTAAAGGTGAACTTTACTCAGAGCCGGGTCAGTTAAAGTGGGGCCTCACCAGCAGGTACATCTGGGTCCTTCTGGGGAGCCGGGGCCTCCACAGTGACAATTTTGGTGACCGCTGGCTGCCCGTCGTGCTCCACCTGGCAGGTGAGCTTCGCACCCTCCTTGTGGGCAGACAGGTTCACCAGGAGCCAGCTCTTCCCGGTGAAGGTCCCGTCCTGGTTCTCTGTGAGGGTCAAGGCCGTTTCTGTTCGGGACGTGTTTCCGTTCTCCAGCCAGGTCAGCTGCAGGCGCTGGGGGTAGAAGTTCCTCACCAGGCAGGTGACGTTCTTCTGCTTCTCTGACACCGCGAGCTGGGTGACCTCCACGGTGGGCGGCACTGAAACAGCACAGGACACAGCTCTGACCTCGTGGGACACAGACCTCGGAGGAGGCTCCGCCCTCAGCTCCCCCACCACAGGACGGTGTCTCACAGGGCAGGTGCTCGTTCATAGGAATGAAGTCACTAAGCACGGGAGCCTGCACACAGTAGGGGCTCAGGGACTCACAGCTCCGGTGAGAGTAACAGGATTGAAGTGAAAAGGCACAGCCTGCATGCGGTGGGGCATTGTAACTGTAGGAAAATAAATGAAATCACCAAGCACATGGGAGCTGGGCTTATAGAAGGTGCTCAGTTACTGGACTTGCTGTTGGTAAAGTAGATGCAACTACCAAGTACAATGGTGGGTGTGCACCGGACAGCTGCCATTAGACGGGGTGAGTGATGGGCACATCCAGGTGCCTGGTGAAGGGCAGGACTTGAGGAATTAGATTCCAGGAAAATCAAACTCTGGAGCAAAGAGCATGGAGAGGAGCCAGCGTGGGGGCCAGGGGCCAGGTGTGGGCTTGGGCTGGGTGTGAAGGCATCTACCTCGGATGGCCTCAGAGAGGTTGGCAGTCCCACGAAGAGGCAGGTCCCCCTTTAGGGTGTTGTGGGTCACCTGGCAGATGACCTGGGAGCGAACATCCCTCGGGGCCAGCAGCACCCTGGCTGTGCTGGAGATGCTGTAGGAAGGGCTGTCTCCCTCTGGGTCCACGGTGGTCTGGAAGGCTGGCAGCTGATTCCCATCCTTGAACCACTTCAGGTCGATGTTTCTTGGGGAGAAGCCGTGGGACTTGCAGGTGTAGTTAACTGTCTGCCCAGGCGGCGACCTGCCCGTGGGGCCCGATACCACAGGGGGAGAGGGTTTGGCTTTAAAAGGAACATAATAAACAACGAATATGATTGTGAATATCACCACTAACAATAAGAATTTGACACTGTCAAAACCTTCTTCTCATATACTGTCTGTTTTTTAATCCTTCTATTAATTCCGGGGTGTCATCATCCCCATCTTACTTGGGGGGACACTCAGGTCCCCTGAGTGAGGGAGGGGCAGCGCCAACAAGCAAACCCAGGCCTGCGTTCAAAGTCACCTTCTTTCCTCTCCAGGTGACGTCCCGCCTGCTGGCCCAGGGACACAATTACTGAGCCGTCTCACTCTTCACAGTAACCTCCTAGCCGGCCTCCCCTGGACTGTCCCAGATGGAAACGCAGAGGAAGCGGTGGGGTAGCTGGACCCCGTGACAGCTGGACCCCGGCTGGCCAGGGAGCGTCCCAGCTTCCAGCCGTGAAATGGGGCAGCAGGCATTTCTCCTTCCCGGACTGCCAGGAGGGGTACCTCAGGCAGTGGAAGCATTTTTGCTCTGAGCAAAACGGAAGATGCTTCACAAAAATAAAGAAACACAGGTCCGTTTTGAACTTGATGTTTATCCAGAGCTCGCCCCTCAGGTGTTTATGAGTCACTCCATACTTCTCCTTCGTTCCACCAGTATTTCAGCAGGGTCTATCTCATCTGGGCCAATCCCCGAGTTTGACAGGGAGAAGACAATGGGATGTTTTTTTTTCTGAACTTGGGTTCTTCTCTTGGGTTTGAACACACAGATCACCGAGTGCTGAGAACGCCGAAGGGGGTTCATGTCTTAATCGGTATTACATTAGAAGAGGCACAGACACGGGCCTCGGAGTGGGCGGGACTCCTGAGTCCTGAAAGCATCCACACCAGGGACAAAAGCGAGAGCGGTCTCTCCCTGTGGGAAGGGCCAGCAGGGTGGGTGCCTCCCCACTGGGAGTTCTTACCCAGCCCCTTCGCTCACCGCGGGCAGACAGCACATATTAACAAGTACTTGCACCTGTAAATATCTAACTTGCTTCCTGAAACTCATCCAACGTTTGAGGACATAGATAAGGGAGTGTCACTTGAATCAAGTGGTAAAAGCATCAGCGTCCGGGACGCCCCTAGAGATGCTGGGATCGGTGACCGTTTATTGAGAAAAGCTGGCATCCTGATGTCGGGCGGGTCCCTCTGTGCCCTCAGCCCCCCCTTTTCCCGCCGCCCTGAAGGCAGGCCCTGCGTGGTCTCACTTAGGGGATGAGGCTGAGCGAGGACCCGGCTGGTCAAGGGCACAGGGAGGAAAGCCAGGGTCATCTCACTGCTCACAGGACCGGTTAGTTTTAGCATCTCGGTTCTTCATCCTTGAGCCTCAGGGTCTGGCTCTGTACTGAGTGGCCGAGAACACCACCCTGGTAAGGGGGGTGAGGATGTCTGTCACACAGAGCCTGGCATACGGGGGGAGGCAAAACACAGAGCTTATTCTTACATTCTTGTTAATTATTGTATTATTTTCCATATAAACAACAGCAAGCCTACTTTTGCCCACCCCTGTACAGTAGGTGCTTAATAAATAACACCTACCATTGTTATCATAAGACCTGGCCTTACTAGTTCTGAAACTACCTATTTGTGTGTGTTTTTTTAAATATATATTTTTATTGATTTCAGAGAGGAATGAAGAGAAAAGAGACAGAGAGAGAGAAAGAGAGAGAGAGAGAGAGAGAGAGAGAGAGAAACATCAATGATGAGAGAGAATCATTGATCAGCTGCCTCCTGCACGCCCCACACTGGGGATGGAGCCAATCAAACCATGACTTCCTGGTTCAGAGGTCGAAGCTGAACCACCGGCTGAGCCACCCTGGCCGGCCCTATTTGTTCTTCAGGCAGTAAGACTGCAAGACAAAGCATAGCAGACACACCAAGAAAGGTCTCAAATCCTGCTCCCCGCAGCTGCCGTGCACAACTCCGCTGGAAAAAGCAGAGAAACCACCAAATTATGGTTCTCTCCCTCTTTTTGTAACGATCCCCTCAGGAAACAAGTTCGGCAAAATGACTTTCAAAACACACACGAGATCACAGGCGTTTCCCTACAGGTTAGCTCTTTACAGAAGCAGGAAGGGTTTTGCAAAAAGGGAGGACGGGTTTTGTCAGAGGCGTTTGGGTGTGCTGGGGCAGGAAGGGTGCAGGCTGAGCAGGGGTAACTGAGGGGATTCCTTCTCTGTTTAGACACTCAGGTGTCCCCAGCAATGGAGCTTGGATCTGAACAGGGTGCGGGGCGGCCCCTCCCCGGGGTGGAGAGGGCAGGGTGCCACTCCCAGCCCAGGCCTGAGCCGTAAGAGGTGTCCCTGCCACTCAGTCGGGGCTCATTTTCTTGGGCCTCTGAGGAGCTGTCACGGGCACATGCTTCCCTGAAGCACCTGCACCCCCAAAGCTGCTGTTCTCTCAGCCCCAGCAGCAGGGAGGGGGCACCTTTGTCAGGGGTGGGGAGGGGGGTAATGCAAGGTTTCCTGAGGCCGCAGAGAGCACCTAGCTCAGGCTCTCTGCCTGGCTCTGCATTAGCATCCTCTGGGAGTTACCAGTTCAGCGGCCAGGCCCGCGTCTGAGCAACTAAGTCAGACTTCCTAGGGTGGAGCCAGGGACGAGGGACCAGGTTCCCAGGTGGTTCTTATGAGCAGCCAGAGCTGAAAGGCACTGAATCCCACCTTGAAGCCCGTTTATACTGAGGCCAAGAGAGGAAAGTGACCTGTCCCAGGGCCCGTGGCTTTGGCGTATCACAGCTCACATCAGACGTGTGCATCTCATGTTGGGCTGACATGTACACAGCTGTCACAGGATGTTCACTGAACATTTACTACGTGCCGGGCCCTGCTCTAAGCACCTCACGTGAATTCTCTCAGGCCTCATAGCTGCTCTGTGAGGTCAGTGCTGTCACTGAGGGATGAGGACACCGAGGCAGTGTCCGGTCAGAGGTCACAGAGCCGGGAGGTGGCAGAGCTGGGATGTGAGCTCATGCAGGGGGCTGGCCCATGCTCTCACCCGCCGGGCACTGACCCTCAGAGACACTCCGAACCACTCTATGACTTCCTTCCTCTCCAACCCCTGAGCAGGAGCTGTGACTGTCACCACTTCGCAGATGGGGAAACTGAGGAAACCAAGACTTGCACAAGAGCCCCCAGCGGGGGAGTGACGCTACTGCCCACTGGGGGTCTGTGCTCTCAGCAGCTCACTGTATCCTCACACCTTCCTGCAAAGGGTGGTGAGACCATCACTGTCTGCAGATGGGGAAATTGAGGCCCAGCAAAAGAAACTAGGCCACATCATGAAATAGCACCTGATTTTTGGGGTGCTACTCTGTGCTGGGGTGATTCAGACAGAGTACCTCAGATCCTCCACCTTTCCTAGAAGGACTCCATGGTTATTATCGTCTTACAGGTGGGAAAACGGCCGAGACAAGAGAAGGGGCTGTCTCCTCCACCAGCACTCTGTCCCAGGGGCATTTCCTGTGGCTCCAGGCTTCATGCCCATCAACAGAGTAAGTGTGCCACTTCACACCCCGCCCCCAACACTGACTGCCAGCCTCCTCTCCCTCCCACCACTGAGGTTTCTGACTTCAAGGGGTGCTCTCTAGTGCCCAGGCTGGGGGCCCTGTGGCAATAAATGGGAGAAGGGGCTCCTAGCTATGAGTCTAGGACAGTGGTCGGCAAACTCATTAGTCAACAGAGCCAAATATCAACAGTACGACGATTGAAATTTCTTTTGAGAGCCAAATTTTTTAAACTTAAACTATATAGGTAGGTACATTGTTATTAACTTAATTAGGGAGCTCCTAAGCTGGCCTTTGCTAAAAACTCAAGGGGCCAAAGAGCCGCATGTGGCTCTTGAGCCACAGTTTGCCGACCACTGCTCTAGAATATGAACTCCTGTTCACTGGGTGCAGGGCCCTCTAGGAAATGCCCCTCCTCTCCCTCAGTCTGCAGAGACAGGATGCTGCCCACGGCTCAGCAACCCCTCTCTGCTCCATCCAGGCCGCTGTGCCCGGCGGCTCCTGCAGCTGCTCCCGCGGCTGCCCAGAGAGAAGGACACCACACAGAAGGGAAGGCCTTCTGGATGCTTCTCTGTGCCGAGCCGTGTCGCTGGAACAGGGTCAGCGCATCGGGAGACAGCTGTGTACACGTCTGTGGGCTGTGAAGCCGGCCTGCCCCGTTCACAGGACCTGTTTGTAAAGCGCTTCCTGAGGAAGAGCAGAACGATTCAAGATTTTACCAAGAGAGGTGTGGAGCGCCTCCACTTGGCCAGCACCATGGGTGCGGCAGAAAGCAGGGCTGTGAGGCTGCCTGGGTCCAATCTCAGCCTCTGTACCTGCTCCTCGGTGAGGTCCTCCCTCTGCGCCTCAGTGTCCTCCTCCCTCAAAGGGGCCAACAGAGAGCCCCTGCCCCCGGGCTGGCTGCAGAGGAAATGCCACGAGGAAGACAGACGAGGCTCCCGGCCGCTCCCAGCGCCTGCTCTCTCAGCCAGGGCACCGCTGAGCAGGCAGATGGGGAAGGGACAGAGTCTCTCCAGGAGGCAGCAGATCTGAGTGGCGATGGAGCCACTGACACCTGTGGTGCCTAGGCAACCGACACACCATTGGGAAGGTGGTAATACCTGAAAATTCGGGATAAAGCCACCTTCCCTGCCTGTGTCCAGGAGTTGTGGGGAGACCCAGTTGCCACCATGTCTAGGAGGGAAACTTGGTGATACCCCCCAAATTAAAATGCACGCACCCTGTGACCTAGCAATGCCACTTCCTGTGGGCACCTCCCTGTTGAATAGGGTGACACGTGGACAAGGGTATCCCCACGAATAGCCCAAGGCTGGGAACAGCTCACACCCATCAACAGGAGACAGTGAGGGAACGGTGCTGTCTCCACAGGCTGGAGAGGAGGCAGCTGGTGGAGGAGGGGCAGCTCTCGGTGATGATGGGGATGCTCGATTTGGGGCGATGTGGCTGGAGGTACAGGAAGGGGTTCCCAATCACCTTGGGGATCAGCGTCTGAACGTGAGGGGCATGTGAACCTTTGAGAAAACAACAGAAGGAGGATTCTGGCTCCCTGTTCAATGGCTTGGTATAATTAGCTCTTATTCAGCACCTACTATGCGTCAGGTCTTCCACAGGAGAGGGTCCTATTCCCAGGCAGGAAGGAACCTGCCTGGAATCAGACGGGGTCTGGGAATGGTCCCCTCACTAACTGGCCATGTGACAGGGCCGGTCATCTCGTGGCCTCCGGCGCCTTCTGTGCCTGGGAGGGTTGGGAGGAGGGTCTAAAGGTGCTGACATCCAGGATTCGGGATCCTGGGCCTCTGGCAGAAAACCCGAACTGAGCACTTTTGCTGCCCATCACTTATGGGATGACTCCTAAGTCTCCACACGGGGAGCCTGCTCCCTGTGAGGGTCAGTCAGCGATCACTCAGCTCGGAGTCTCAGTGGCAGTGTGACCGGGGCCCTGCATAGAGGGGTTTGTCGGACTGACCCACAGTGAAGGCCCAGCCTCTGGGCATCCCTTCCCCCAGGGCTGCAGAGTCCACAGCGCGTCTGTGCCTCAGGAATTCCCACAGGGTGCTTCTGAGGGCGAAATGAAGGGAACATTCTCCCTCTCTCTGCCCTGGCAGGTTTCTCCCACTGGAGGAAGAGAAGGGAGCTTCCTGGGAGAAGAACCATTGCCTGCTTTGTTCTGTAGCTGCCTCAGCACCCAGCACAGAGCCTGGCTCACAGCAGGTACCTAGTGGGTATCACTAAGGTGGAGCCTCGGACACATTGAGGGAGCATTCCCTGGAGGTGGGTGAGGTCTGGCCTTGTGATGGGCATGTCACTCAGATCTTATCCCTGCAACCAAAGGGCTGACAGGATTGGAAGGCCAGGGCTGTGGAGCCAGACCAGCGGGGGATCCAGACTTTCCCCACCACTGACCAGCCGTGGTGGCTGAGCAAATAGCATGACATCTCCAGGCCTCAGCTGCCCTGGTCTGCAGACGGTGAAATCAGACCAGGAATCAGGTCTTGACTATAAGCACCCACCTCCGCACCTGACTCTTAGTTGTTTCTCAAAGATGGAAGTCGTTCTTACTGACTTGTTGTCACACACGAGGGACAAAGGATCCCCCTGTACTCACCACTCACGCTGAGCTGAGTGCCGGCTCCAGACTTGAACTCCATGTCACCACCGTCTCCTCTCCGGAACTTCACACAGTAGTAGGTCCCTGTGTCTGCTGGGGTGATGTTACTGATGCGGATGGAAAAGTCCATGTTGTCTCTCTTCGTGGTGTCTGCATTTTGTTACTCGGGGGAATTGGGCTCCTCTGAAATCATAGATTAACTCCCGGCCTGTCTCTGTCCCTCTGAACCACCTGATGGGCCCCACCGGGAATATGGTGGTCACAGTGCAGCTCAGAGTGGCCGTCTCTCCTGCTGCGACGGACACTGGCATCTGAGGCTGAATCACCTGCAGCTCCTCCTCACCTGCCCCTCCTGGAGGGAAGCACAGAGCAGTTATTTACTCAGCATATGGGAGCCTGTGGGCTGGGTCAGTATTATCAACAACAGCTTTCATCGAGGGCACACCTTGAGCGGGCCTTCAGCCCAGCACATGCATGTGTCATACATGTAACCCTCACAACCACCCTGTAATAAGAGAGCTTGTAACACAAGAGGAAACTGAGGCACAGAGGGGAAGTTAAGTGACGTGGCATAGAGTGGGTTTGAGACCTGAGCCTTCCCTGGAAGTGTCATGTCTGATCGGGGCTCTGAATCCAAACCTGAACTCACCAGGAAGAAAGGGGCACAGCGTTCCCATCAGAGGGGACAGCATGGGCCAATCTCAGAGGCGGTGGCAGCATGGTGTGTGTGTGTGTGTGTGTGTGTGTGTGTGTGGAGGGGGGTTTGGGGGGTTTTCTAGGAGTTAAGGCTCTGTCTGGGGCCTGGCCCAGGAAGCAAGCCACCAGCGGGAAGCCAGACTCAGCAGCTGGGGCTGGAGCAGGCTGTGAAGCAGTGACGTAGGAGGTTGTGGGTTTGGCTCAGGTCTTATGACTGAGTGATCTTGGCTATCACTTGGGCCACCGAGAAGTCCCAACAGGGACTCGTGTGAGTGGACTTGACACTGTGAATGTGAGTACTGCCCCTGTATTATCCTCTGAGCCTCAGTGTCCCCATCTGTCAGTTATATGGCCCCGTTTCCACAGACCAACCAGCAGGCCTGGGCAAGGACAGGGCCAAAAGGAACATCTGGGCCCAGGCTCGATCCCCAGTGGAGGGTGTGCAGAAAGCACCGATCAATGATTCTCTCTCATCATTGATGTTTCTAACTCTCTTTCTCCTTTAAAAAAAAAAAAAGAAAAAGAAAAAAGAAGGAAGCGTCTGGTCTTTGAAGCCATCTGACCGGGTCTGAAGCCTGGCTCACCATTTACTTACATGTAACCCAGCTTGTCCAGTGGTATTGAGCCTCAGTTTCCATCTATAAGATGAAGACACCCCTAGCCCTCTCTTTAAGTCACTTAACACCAAGCTGGGCACAGCGGAAGCTACTGTCATTGCACAAGGAACACGCCAGGCAGGTACGCTGCCGGCGCTGACGGCCCTGCAGCCCGGGTGCGGGGCCCGCGAGGGGGCACGGTCAGGCTGAGAGGGCTCTAGGCTTGGCAGCTAGAAGGAGTCCTAGAGGCTGGGGGCGGAGGGGCCTGAGCCCACATGGGAGAGAACTGGGGCACAGGGGACAGATGTGGGTGGAGGGGAGGCCACGGCCAGGAGGATGAACAGGCAGAGGAGGATGAACAGGCAGGTGAAGATGCTGTGAGAAGGGCCAGGTCACAGGTGCTCAGAGCAAGTCGCAGCCAGGGCCCCGATCCGGAAGAAGGTGGGGTGGGGAGAAAGGACAGATCTTAAAGACCTTGGAGACATACATACACACACACACACACACACACACACACACACAGATTAACATGACACTGCAGAGACACAGAGATAGGCAGAGAGAGACAGAGTGAGAGAGTGAGAGACAGAATAGGAGGTGGGGGAGGCTGGCAGCCTTTCTAGCTGCAGGCCATCTGGTCTCTGCCCCGTGCTCCCCTCACCCACAAGGTGACCCTGTCCTGCCCCGGCCTAGGCCACCATGGCCTTGGGCATCAGACAGGGTGTCAGCTGATGCCCTGAGCAGCCCCCTCTGCCTCTGGCCGGGCAGGAGGAAGACTCTGTGCATCTGCCCACCAGTCAGTGACCCGGCACCACCCCACAGGCAGGAGCAGGGAGTCTGAGGGAAGGGAGGCCAGGGACTCCATCCGCCCTCACCGCAGGCAGCCAGGGCCTCAGGACAGGCCTCTCGTCCCTCCCTGCCTGTTGTCCCAGCCCTCATTCCCATGGTCCCAGACTTGAGCCATGACTCACATCGGCAGCCTGAGGGCAGCCAGACCCTCTCGGGTACAGGGAAGAACCCCGGGTCCACAGAGCACAGGGGCTAGGGTGTAGCTGGGGCCCAGTTGTGAGAGGCACACAGAGGAGGCAGTACCAGCAGCTGCCAACAGCAGCCGGCCACATACATGCCAGTGGGCCTGCCTTCCAGCAGGAGATTGGGGGAACTGGAAATCTGCCAGTGGGGGTGGGAGGGCAGCACAGGCTGGGACCAGCAGGCCTGGGGAGCTGGGCCCCCCTAACCAGCTGGGCCCCCCTCCCTGGGCCTCCACTCCACCCGCCCCACCATAACGAGGAGGACCGGACACCACTGGACGCGGGGGCTTGCTGCACAGATGCTGCTTACACCTGAATTTGCGTCTCTTTTGTGATCAGATGTATTATTTTTATTCCTGATTTTCTCTGGCTTTATCATGGCCCCCCCAGCAAGACATGGGATCCACAAGGCTCTCTTTCCCACCCCCTGTCTCAACCGTGTCTGACACACACCAGGCCCTCAATACACACGTCGAGGGCACGAATGAACGAAGGAAGGAGGGGTTTACTTGCTCCCAGGAAAACCCCCCTCCCAGCCTCTATCCTTATCTGTTCATGGAGCTGCGACAGGCATATCCCCGCGACGGGCAAGCCTGGAGCCTGGGACTGCACCTGGCCCAGAGAAGGTGCCCGTGGCCCATGGCAGTTATTATTATCTTCATCCACAACCCCACTTGGGCTGTGAGTCAGCGGTTGTGAGGGGAGCGGGGTGAGCGGGAGAGGCTGCAGAGCAGGCGTGCGCGTGTCGGAGCAGGTCTATTCCTGTGTTGCCGTCGGAGGCGCACAATCACACCCGGGCAGGCGGCAATGAAATCTGGAGCCGAGTGAGGGCCGCCCTCCCCGCCCCCTTTTAAGTCCTCTCTACCAACAGCAGCCAGATTTCGGCGGCTTAATTAATTAGCCGGTGTTTGTAAAGCGTTTGAAGAATTTTAAAAGCGCGACGTAAGTGCCAAATATTATTTTAATCTCTGTGTGTGTATGTGTGTGTGTTTTCCAGCAGAGTGTTTTTTCCTGCTCGCTTGCTATTCTCTTTCTCTGCAGGTTTCTGTTCTGGGAACCGGGCTTGTTAAAACCCACTCCTGCGGTTCTGGGTCCGGGGTCACCATCCTGGCATCCCGGACAAAGCCTTCTCCTGCCCTCCTGGCAGAGAGAGGGGCTATTGAGGGCCTGAGCCGCCCGTCTGGGAGGAGGGCGGCTGAGCGGGCATTCTCACACGCTGCTGGTGGGAGTGGAGATTGGAGCATCCTTTTGGGAAAGCAGTTTGGCAGAATGCATCAAAGGGGTGGGAGCTGTTTGACGTGGGGTTCCTGCATAATGATCCTGGAAAAGTTGGGGAAAACCCCAAACGGTCAATGAAAGGGGGTGGTTCAGGAAACAGTGGCCTGTCCCCTCGATGGGATTGCTGGTAGCCATATAAAGCGATCATCCCGCGGCCTGTTGGTAACCTGGACATTTCTGCATGGCATCATTTGAAGCGATGTTGTGATTATGCAAATAAAACCTGTTCGTTGCAAAGCATTTAGAGAGAACAAAGAAAGTATAAAAACAAAATAATGATCACAGAATACCATCAAGGACAACTGAGATTGACATAAAATGAGTGAATAAAAACAATGTAAAGTCAGACTCAGATAAGTAAGGCTACTAGTCTGTGTGTAAACCTTTGGCTTCATTAATTCAGTTCTGAACAACGTGAAAAACTGGAAATACCCTAATGTCTAAGCAAAAGAGACTGGCTGGTCCCATGATGTTGGACCTCCCCCCACCATGTGATGACCGAGTCTACAGCCATGAAAATGATGGTGTCCAATTTCAATTATCGACCCGGAGCTGTATTAGAAATTCATAGGGAGTTACTGAGTGACATTTTCCGCGTGATCCCAAACTTCCAGTTTTGGAAAAAATGATATATGATATTAAAGATTAGCAGTGATTAATTGTGAGCAGTAGTCTTACAAGGGATTTTGTTTTTATGTGTTCTGTTTGCATTACTGGTGCAATAAAAAAAGAAGGGAAAGCTATGCTCTCGGTGTGCTCATGACTTGGTAACGTAAAATAAATCTGTATATAAACAAACAGCTGCAAGGTGGATGTACAAGGCTATAAAACACTTCTCCCTTCAGATCATGAATCTAAAGCCGATGGGTTTCTCTTTTCTCTCCCTTCTGTTCCAGGGACTTTTCAGGCTTTCTAAACTGGATGAATATTAAAGAATATTTGCAGCATCCCACTTGGTAATGAGGAAAATCTATGTGTGGAATATGTAGGCTACATACATGTTTGTTGTTTGACAGATCCTCCCCTCCAAGAAGTTGGCCTGTTTTGTTCACTACTTCCTGACACAGTGCGTGGCACATAGTAGATGCTCAATAAACATTTGCAGGCTGACCTGAACTGATCGCATGTCCAGGGAAAAAGGTCTAGAGTGATAAATCCCATAATGTTGAGGTGAGTTATGACTGGGAAATAGGACCGGGGTGGGCACATTTTCTCTTTACTCTATGGTAAACAATATACTGAAGCCTTTTTTGCCTCTTTTTTTGTTTCTCTTGCAGTGAACATCTGCTGCTCTGGGGAAAACACTAACGTAATGAAATAAACCGTGTGAGCAAGTTTTCTAATGGAGAAGTCAGCACAGTGGGTGGTGCCTGCCCTGTGTGCTCGCTGTAAGAGGAACTGTGTCCACAGGATGCGGGAGCCCACAGCGCGGGGCGGTCAGCGATGAATTACTAGAATCCGCGGCGCACAGGGCCCTGGGCGAAGGGCTGTGGACGGATGGCTCTGTCCCTGGCCTCCTGGAGCTTGCTCACGAGCAGAGAAGATAGACTTTGGGGTGATTACATTGGGGACGAACCACAGCCGCGTAGACAGGTGCCTCCCACGGCCGTCTCTGACCCCATCCCGTGACCTGCTGCTCCCACCGCCCCGCCTCCTCCACAAACAGGCCGGGAGGGTGAGATGAAGCAGGATGGGGGCTGAGAATTGCCCCGTGGGCTTGTGTCTGTGGTTTTCTATGATCATGCCCGGCT